TAAAGCTATCTATACTACTAAATTATTTATTTTTGTGTCTTAAAATATTTAAAACTATGCCCACTTATTGAAACCTGGTTCTGCTTTAAATTTCGTATCTGCAGTTCTAACATTTAAAACTGCTTATTCCAATATCTACTCCCACGCTGTAAAAAGAACAGGCAGACGACTTTTCAGTTTCATATACTTTGCTCACAGCCCTTTTGTTTTACAGTTGTTATTTCATTTACTTGTTCATTTTATTAATGCGATTTTGCATTATCTATAGTTTTATATTTTATTTATATTTAATTTTCGTCTTACTTTGCGTTGGTGGAACTGTACATAAAGCTCTTATCACCAATTTAATTTTGCTTTCTTTTATTTCGGTCACTTATATAGGTACACATTTGTAAGATTATTATACTCAAATTATGACAAAGTAATAGAAAACAGCTAACATTATTAACTAAACGTTGCTGAATTTTTCAAGAAATTATTTTTAATTAAAAGAATTCAACAAGAAGCATTTTAATTTAATTACTGATATATGCAATATATTAAATAAGAAATATTTTAAGCTAAATTTTAAAATTTACTATTTTAAGCTAAATATCATATATGCATTCATTTTGCGGTTTACAGAAAAATTTTAGTCTAAAGGGGCAATTTGCCCAAGAACTATTTTTCTTCTGGTATTTTGCGTGATTCACTTACGGCGAATCACTTTTAATTGTTGCCACCAAATATTAGAACCCTGTATTATATTTAAAGAAATTAAATAATGAAGAATCTGCATATACAGTGTCTCAAAAAAGTGATGGGACACTTGTGCTTTACAAAAGGAAACTGCAATAAAATAAATTTAAAAAACATGTAAAATTTTTTGTGGGTGTGTTTCATACTTAAATTTAGTAACAATTATTACATAACATACATTTTCTCAAAATATTAAAATATTAATTTAATAAAAATACAATTGTTTAGAACGGAGCAGAAAATGGCTCACTTAAGTGATGGGACACTTACTTTTCCATCAAATATTTATCCAAAAATTTTACTTTTTAAAAGGTTTTAATATTTTGTTGGATTTCCTTTTACTTTTAAAACATGATTTAATCTTCTTGGGATGGATTCGACTAATTTTTTTTGTGATTTCTGGAGTGATTTTACCCCATTCTTCTTGAAGCACCGATTTTAATTGTTGTTTTGAAGAAATGGTGTGTTTGCGAATTCTTGATTCCAATTCTTGCCAAATATTCTCTATGGGATTTAATTGTGGAGATTGTGGGGGTGTTTTTATTATTTCAGGACAGTTATACAGCAGCCAGAGTCTAACGTTCAAAGCACTGTGCTTGGGGTCATTGTCCTGGTAGAATTTAAAATCGTTATGAAGGTTCAATTTTCGTGCTGAAGATTTCAAATTTTGATTTAAAATGTCAATATACTTGTACTGATCCATTATACTGTCAATAAAAACAAGATTACCAACTCCAGCGGACGACATACATCCCCATACCATAACTCCTCCTCCACCATGTTTTACTGTTGGCACCAAGTTCTGTTTGCGAAATTCTTCCCTGGGTTTTCTCCACACCAAGATTCTACCGTCAGAACCAAATATATTAAATTTACTCTCATCAGCAAATATAACTTCATTCCAGTAATCAGAATTCTTATTTATGTTGGATTTTGCGAAAGCCAGTCTGAGTTTTCTATTCTTTTCACTTACGAAGAATTTTTTCCTGGCTGCTCTCTACCGTGATATCCAGTAGATCGAATTACTCTTCTAATAGTCTCAGAATTAACAATTACTCCATATAATGCTTGTAAATCAGCAGCAACTTTAGGAGCACTCATTCTTGGATTTTTTTTAAATATTTCGAACGATAATTCGCTTTATTCCATTGGATAGCTTTGATGGTCGGCCAGGTCTTCTTTTATCCTGAATCATATGATTCTTTTTATATCGTTTAATGATATTGAAAACTGTTGAATGACTGAAGTTAACTGTTTCAGTAGTTTCTCTAATAGATTTTCCACGTTCAATATGCAAATTAACTAATTTTTGAATTCCAGGCAAAGTTTCTTTTCGTTTAGCATTCATGGCTGCACAGAGCTAAAAAACACAAAAATTCCAAAACAAACTGGAGAGAAATACTGCAGACGATTTTATAAATTATTGGCAATTGCTTTTGAGTAAAAATAAATACCCCAAAAGATATTTTTATTGCTTACTTCAGACGATTTTTATTGCATAGTACGTAGTGTCCCATCACTTAAGTGAGCCATTTTCTGCTCCGTTCTAAACAATTGTATTTTTATTAAATTAATATTTTAATATTTTGAGAAAATGTATGTTATGTAATAATTGTTACTAAATTTAAGTATGAAACACACCCACAAAAAATTTTCCATGTTTTTAAATTTATTTTATTGCAGTTTCCTTTTGTAAAGCACAAGTGTCCCATCACTTTTTTGAGACACTGTATGTATATATGTTTCTTGCACTGTGATAAAACAACGACACCTAGAACCATCAAATTTTGAAAAACTTAATGAACTGAATATGGGCATCTGGAAGCCCTAATTTGGAATGTGGAATTTGTTTTATTATCATTTCCCATTTTTTAACACTTTAACAAATTTTTGATTAACAAACTCCACGATTTCAAAGCGAGAAATGGCAACACTGTACGAAAAAAAAAACTTTTTTATCTCCAGTGAGCGAGACTGTGTATCGGAAATTCTAATGATATGCTCATTTTAAAATTATTTTACGATATTTCAGTTGAATTGAATTTTATGGTTTAAGTGCGAAGAACGTGATATTTAATAAATAAAGGTAACACACAAAACGTTAAAAAAAGCCGCTTTGGACGTAATATAAAATCTGAAAACTTTCAGATTTTTTTTATATAATTATAATAACACTTTTATGTCTGAGTGAACTTTCTCATAAAAAGTTTTATTATCAATAACCGTCGATTTTAAAACTCTTTAAATTTGTTTTCTTTTACCAACGCAATTTCATTAAAAAAGTAAGAATGACAATTTAAAAGTTTTTAACGTTACTTCTAGATATAATTTAATGTAACCATGAACGTTTCGTTTGTCTAAGATAGTGAAAAACCAAGATTTTTGACTACTCGGCTGGTCTCATCCTGTGTTTCTTAATATTTTCACCTCTAAACTTCTTCGTCACATAAGAAGAAAAATATATTAGTGAAATGCATTTATTTACATGGTAAGTGATTTCTTTCACATAAGCATGTACATTAAAAATGTCGAGCTCATTAATATGGACCATTCTAAATAGTTAATTTCTACAGAATTAGGATAAATTACGAATTACAGGCTACAAACGCAATCAAATGTCAGTAAATTAAAAATGATAAAATTAGAAAACAAATGATTGGAGAATTAAAAATTCGATGTTGAGATAAACGTTTAGAATTTATTTCGAATTCTACGTTTGAATACCCACTTCGAGTTAGAGAAATTCCAGCGTACTCTACTGAAATTATATTCTGTGTAATTCCTAATAATAAATAAAATAAAAATTAAATTATGATTTATGCGATATTAATAATACACGAAGTGTGAAATGGAACCTGATAATAATAAATTTTCAAATAGCGCAAAAATAAATTCTTTCACTCACGAGTTCTTTCACCTAGTACGTATTTCTTCCTGAATTCATAGCAATTTCGCAAATTTTCGATGGCTAAAAATTATTTCCACAATTAAACATATTAAATTTTGCAGCTAATTTCATGAGCCATACTGTAGGTATTAAATTATATACATAGAACTACTTTAATATAATTAAAATAATTGTTAGAATAAATTAGTGTCACTTTTGCATAATGAAACATGGCAACTCAAAAACAAACGAGCGTCAAACGATACATATTGACGAGAATGAATCGCCTATGTTGTTTTCAGATGCAGAAGTCTTAAAAAGAAGATTTAGTGTTAACGTTGTACTTGTAAGTTTTATTCTTTTTCAGCACGTCACTTTCTTTTACGAAATACAGTCTTGATAATATTGCCTAATTGGTCAGCCTGAAGCTATTTAAACTTATAAATAAATTTCTTGTGAGTTCTTTTTCTTTAATACTTCGATTTAAATGTTTGTAAAGACTGTTATTTTTGATTTGTATTCTATTTGAGTTAAGCAAACTCTCTAACTTGTTAAATAAAGATTTCGTAGTTATTCTAACTTATGATTCTTTAATAAAACTGTGCTAAATAGGAGATAGTGTTCTCAAACGCCTTAACTGTGTTAAATCTACGACATATCGATATTATTTATGCAAAACACGTCAACATTTTTAACTGATTTGCTTGAACTAAAACTGAACCTCGTCATGATCATCTCGATTATGGTTCAGTTTTTAATTCAGCATAATTGATTAAATAAATTTGACTTACTTTGTATAAAACATTGCATTAAACATTGTAACGACACTAAATTTAATAAGCGAAATTTCTTAAAATTTGAGCTCTTGACGAAATTAAAAAAAAAAAAAAAAAAAAAAAAAAAAAAAAACCTACACTTGTTTTTCTGAATTCACATTTGATCTTTAAAAAACTCACCTATAGTTTTATTACTGTTATTTTATTGCATTTTTGATGAAATTAAAATGCTTTTGTAACCAGTGAATTATTCTCAGTTTTAGCAAAAATTACAGTTTATGACTTCAAAACTGTTTATTATAACACAGCTCAAATTGTAGCATAACTAACGATATACTCACAAATACATATATGCACCTGAATGTACATTTATTTTTCACCCTTCTAAGCAATTATTTTAACGGTAAAATTTTAATTATTTAATTTTACCGTTTTATTTTTCAACTTTCGATAACTTACATTTTTTTTTTTTTTCTTTTTTTTAAGTTTTTCTATCTAATGAGATTTATATTAGAAAATATTCTTTTCCCACACAAGTGCAAAGCTACGGTTACTGAACATTTCGAAAGAGTTAAACTTTTAAAAAGAAATCTTCTCACCTGTGACAGAGCGCAGACAAATCGTCGATAGTGGAGCACCTCCACGGCAGACGACGGACTCTCTCGGACAGCCGCCGAGCTCTCAACTCCCCTCTGCTTCTCTCTGCAAACCCGCGAACAAGATCAAGGACTGCGCCCTCGTACGGCGCAACATTCTCTCCGCCCCCGGTGGCGCCCCTGCCGACCAATGGCGAAGATGGTCCTCGCCCCCGAATTGAATTAAACATTGAGCCCCCATCCATTTTCTCTTTTGGCAAGGGTGGTCCTGGCCTGTAAACGGTCCAATCACGAGAGCTTTCCTTCCTTTGAGCTGTTTTTTTACAATCACTTAAGCCCCGGGCCTATACTGCACTTTAGGTAGCTAGCCTGGGAACGAAGGTGGGATCTTCTTCTGCAGAATATGCTTAGCTATTTTGGGGGGTATACACCTTATGTTGCCCCATAGTGCGAAGTTGTGGTCAGCAGAAATTCGGCTCACTGTACCTAAATATGTTCTGCTGATTGGATATACTATTCAACCCTTACAACTCCTGGATAGTTTTTGTTGAAACCCTCGGTTATTCACATGCGTGCAAACTTTCATTTGGCCCCAAATGTATCGCACTGAAAGAACAGGAATCTCAGTCATTGTGATTTAAATAAACAACACATGGATGTACACCAAAATGTGCTTTTTAACATCACATCGTGCACGATGCTCTAAATTTATCGGCTCAAAGCGGAAACCTTGGATTATCATATTGGATATGTTTAAAAGTTATTTTATTCCTTCCTTTAATACATTGTTTAGAGTTCTACAACGAGCAAAACCAATGGATAATGACCTAAAAGGATATATTATAAGTATTAACTCCCAGTGGTTTTCTCGAAGTCCTTGCAGAAAGATTACGTAGCTAATAATGAACAAATTGTTCATCGTCTATCTATCGTAAATATTCGAGACATATTTATAATATATTTTAGATATCTTAGATTTTAAGTATTTAAATCGGCATAATAGATCTCAATATTTTTGCATTCGTAGCCATCAGACCATAACTCTTAAGTAAAAATATTACAAAAGATTACGTAGTTATGCTACTGTTGCCAAGGACTTCAAGAAATTTTACTTTCTTAAATCTTAAAAAAAAGCTTTGCTGTCATATTAACAAAGTAAAATAAAAATTGAGAAATTGTTTCTAAACTTTCTCTAAATTCGTTCTAAATTTTGTAAAAATAAGCATAAGAAAGAAATAAGATCTGATATCGTTTTGTGAGTTTCTAATTTCCCTTAGAAAGATAATTTGATCGACCTTAAATGAATACCAAAGTATATTTTTTAAAAATTGGAAGCTTTCGGATTTTATATTAAGCCCAAAGGAGCTTTTTAACGATTTTTGTGTTACCTTTATTTATTAAATATCATGCTCTTCGTGGTACATAAACCACAAAATTCGATTCAAGAGCAGTATCCTAAAATAATTCAAAAAGAGCATATTTTTAGACTTTCTGATACACATTCTCGCATGCTGGAGATAAAAGTATTTTTTTTCGTACAGTGTTGCCATTGTACGCTTTGAAATCCTTGAGTTTCTTAATCAAAAACTCCTAAATGCTTTACAAAATGTGAAATAGATAATAAAACAAATTCCAAATTTGGGCTTTCATATGGCCTTATTGGGCTGGAGACGTACGTTATTCAGACTTTGATGTCTCTATGCACCGTTGTTTTCTCACAGTGGAAGAAACATACATACATTTATTCAGATTCTTCATTATTTAATTTCATTTAATATAATGCAGGGCTCTAATGTTTGGTGGCAATAACTTGAAAAGTGAAACTCCGTTTATAGTGAACCAACACAAAATGCCAAAACGAACTTAATAGCCCTTTTTGGCTAACAGTTCATTTTAGTTCTTTTTGTAATTTGTTTAAATTAATTTACATCAGGAAACTTTTGTCGTCAACAACGTGGCAACACCGAGTTCTATGTTGCCCCATAATTTTTAATCTTTGGGAACGCACCTGTGTAAATTTAAAATATTTCTGAAACTTTTTAAACGTCCGAATAAAAGAAGGTTTTTAATAGAACTTCGTTTTAATGTTTAGATTTTCATATATAAGGTATTTCTTCCGCCTTCTTGGCATGCTTTCGTGGTGTGATGGTCTGCCCACTGCGCGCGTATTCCACAGGTCCGTGGTTCGATTCCCGGAGAAAACGTTGCTTATTTTTCATCTCTCCGGCCTCGAAATAATCTAATGTAATAAAAAAAAAACTTGCTAAATAATAGCGCTTTCTTAAAGCTCATGCTTCCATCACAAAATACTTCTGAATCAAAAATTTAAATGCCACGTTGACTCTCTTTCAAAAATCAGCTCTTTTTCTTGCTCGCATCGAAATTTTTGACAGTTGTTGAATACTTTATTATTCATTATATTTGAGTTATTTATGCCCATTATTGAATATTTTTTCAACCCGAAGGTGCAATTTGTTCAGAAAGGCTATTAATTTCATTTTGGTACTTTGTGTTGGTTCACTATAAACGGAGTTTCGCTTTTCAAATTGTTGCCACCAAATATTAGAGCCCTGCATTATATTTAAAGAAATTAAATAATGAAGAATCTGCATAAATGTATGTATATTTCTGGCACTTTGAAAACCCAACCGTACCTAGAGCCATCCAATTCCGAATAACGGAGTCCTCCACTCGATTATGAGCATCTGGAAGCCCAAATTTGGAATTTATTTTATTAACAATTTCATATTTGGTAAACCTTTAACGAATTTTTGATTAACAAGCTCAACGATTTCAAAGCGAACGACGGCAAATCTGTACAAAAAACAAACAAAAAATATTTTATCTCCAGCGCAAGAGACTGTGTATCAGAAATTAAAAATTATTTTGGCATAATTCTGTTGAATTGAATTTTATGGTTTAAGTGCAAGGAACATGATATTTAATTAGTAACACAAAACACGTTGTAATAACGCTCCTTTGGGCGTAATAAATATAACATCTGAAAGCATTCAGATGTTTTTAGATTTTTTCTTAGTCTTTCATTTCAATAATTCCAATAATTTTTGCATGCTTTTTTAATTTCCCTAATTGAAAAACAAATTGTTTTTTAAATTGTTTTTTAAAACAAATTGTCTTCTAAAATACTTTACAAATTTTTAGAAGTTTACAAATTTTTGCTTATTCTCAGAAAACTAAACTCAACTAAATTTTTATACTGAAAACAATTTGCAATTAGTGTGAATGCATTTATCAGACGGTAGAATTTTTTATGTAAAATTATGCACTAATATATTTCAGTCACTGCTTAATATGTAAAGAACTGTAGCAGTCTAAACGTGCATGATCGTGTAGTGTATGTGGTAGCAGGCACAGCTAGCAAGCGAGGCAAATAGTTAATTTTCATATTACCTGCACCAAACCTGCAGATACAGAAAATCATATCCGATAATCCGGCATATTCATGGCATGTCAGATGATCAAATACAAAGTATTATCAAATTAAAATTTTACGATGCCACAGAATTTATTTTGACTTACATAATTCAATTACTTAAGCCATGAAATTGTGTAAGAATGTTTAATGAATCAATCTCGTAAGTAAATAAATTTATTTATGGTTTAATTATATTTAATCAAATTTTGCTTTGAAAATATTAATATGAAGAGATTTCAAGTTCGAATATCGTACTGCTTAACAGATTCTTCTCTTTTTACCTGCCTGAAAATAAACAACTAGCTTTCAGCGTATTAATTTCTTGGCAACATTTCTTAACTTCTTACTATTTATCCTGTTATGTGTTTACCTTAAGATCTCTTCTCACTGAATCATCTTAATGTAATATATTATCCAGTTAATATAGGTAAGGCTTTCTTAATGTTCGCCAAATAAAAACACCTTTTAAAATATTAGATTTAGACTTGAAATTCTGTAGTTTTTTTTTTTTTTTTTTTTTTTTTTTTTTTTTTTTTTTTTTTCTAGTTTTAATAGTGATAATAACTGTAACTACTGTAATAATGGTGATAACTTTTTGTGCGGTATGAGGGCTTTCTAAATATGCGGCGAGCCAAAAGTCATCTCGAGAGGTTGATGTTGGGGGAAAAGAGGTGGGAGACCTCGGACCCGTTCGCAGGGGTCTCTCCTTCAAAACTGGTGGGGGGACTGAGCAAAAGTCACCTGGCTGCATGGGCGTTTTCGTGGTTTTTCCCATGTGTAACGTGTCCCTTATAAAGTCCTCCACGAAGGCATTCATTCCTTCCGTGTATTGCCTTAGGGCAGAACACGTAAATAATAATAACAAAAACAGCTGAGCAAAGGTGTGCAGTCACCTGTATGGTACCCAAGACTCTTGCCAACGACAGGCGCAATCTTGCCTTTTTCCTTGCCTCGATGGGCCCACCAGCGGCCGAGCGGTAAAGTCGCTGAACATGGGTAGTTCGGTCCGAGGTTCCCTCAAATCCCTCAACGGGCTGGCTGCATGGGTGTTTTCGCGGTTTTCACCATGTATAACGTGTACACGAGCCAGTTTCCCTTAGAAAGTCCTCCACGAAGGCATCACTTCCTTTACGCAGATAGCCCTAGTGTGCTTTGCCATAATTAAATACACCACACCATACACACCTTGCCTCGATGAATTTTTGTGCACTTTCTCGGATATCAATCATTCTGTCGCCCACCAGCGGCCGAGCGGTAAAGTCGCTGAACACTGGTAGTTCGGTCCGAGGTTCGAATCCCGCGAACGGGCTGGCTGCATGGGCGTTTTCGTGGTTTTCCCCATGTGTAACGTGTATACGAGCCAGTTTCCCTTAGAAAGTCCTCCACGAAGGCATCCCTCCTCTTAGGCAGATAGCTCTCGAGGCTTTGCCATAATCACACACACACAATCATTCTGTTGTGGATTGGTGTTTAAGATACCCGGTACCTGGACGAACCCTACTACGAATCGTAAAACACAAAGCTTCTATAGTATCTCAACTAACTACAGATTGAATGTAATAAAAATGTATCATATGTAGATTTATACTAACATTTTTTTCTACTTATACAAAAAATATTAAAATGTGAATTAAAAATGGATAAATGGGAAGAAGCGTCAGAAAATCGTCGAGCTGGTACAATGAGCAATGGTGAA